AAATCCATAAATGCCACAAAGACCTCTTTAACCTTGTCTAAATACTGTTCACTTATATGTTTCACTTTAAACACCTGGTCCACACACCCCCTACCTTTCCTAAAGCCTCCTTGTTCATCTGCTATCCTATTCTCCGTCTTACTCTTAATTCTTTCAATAATAATTCTACCATACCTGTTTTGTGTTATATATATTTTATTAGATATAACTGAGTGGTGCAACAGGACGAAGCATTCTTGAATACCATAAAACTTCCTTAAGGACCAGTATGACATTAACATGTTTAACATATCCCCGTGAACAAAATAATAATATTTATGATAATAATAATAATAATAATAATAATAATAATAATAATTTTAATAACAGTCTTTTCTAGTCATTTTGCCTCCACAAATGTGTTGATTCTCCCGTCCTCTCGGTGTTTACCAAGGTCTTCGACTTCAGTAGTAGTTTTTATAATTGATTTTATGTTTGTAGCGACTTGAGGTTATTTTACCAAAGTCTCCTAATGACACATGTGCAACAGTTTGGTATCTTTATTCTGAAACGTTTCACCTAGAGAGTAGGCGTCTTCAGTCCAGTGCAGTGAAGGCAGCAGAAACAGTAGAGATGTGAAGACGATGTAATCGTCTCGAAGACGTAGCTCTTAGGTGGTCAGTCTGGAGAAGAGTTCTGCAGAACTGACCACCTCGTCTTCGAGGGTGACGGACTGATTACTTCATCTCTACTGCTTCTACTGCATCCTCTTTAGTCGACTGAAGAAGCCTACTGTGTAGGCGAAACGTTTCATAATAAAGCTACCTAACTGTTGCACCTGTGTCTTACTTATCAACTTGTCGGTATTCTATATCAATATCATGTTCACAACTTTTTTAACGTCTACGATTGTTTGATTTTTTTTTTAATTTGGTGTGAGATTCCCTGCTGACGTTTGCTAGTTCTCTTCAATGAATTTTATTTCTGGTTTGAGAGTGTTGACATGTATTCCAGTAACATACCTTTTTTTAGCACAAGCGTTGAATGACCACATAGGTCAAAGTGCTCCATAAATCCAATTACTTCCTCTCATCTTCCTTCCATCTTTTTCTCGTTATGTTTCGTCATAGTTTTCCTCTCCTTCGTCCTCCTCTTCCCCTGTCCTCATCTTCAACCTTCATAATCCTCCTTGTAGGTGTCCTAGACTTCCCTGCCTCTCCTTGAGTTATTTCAGTTATGAATGGCTTCCCTGCTGTTAACACAATCACTCACTATTCATATTGGTCAATCTACCTCATTAAGGAACCACTTAATCACCAGTCCAATTTCTTTTACCCTCTCCTCCTCCAACTCCTCCTCCATTCTCTTTTCCTGTGCTCCTTCCCGTGTTCCGTCCTGCGCAGGTACCTGCTATACCATCCGTCCCCCCCAACCCTGTGTTCCACTGTACCATACCTGACCCAAGCTTCCCATTCCTCTACCTGTCCCTCCACACCTCTTCCACTACCCCACCCTACCTCTTATCTTCTACCTCTACCTACTATACTATATCCATGTCTCCTACAACCAGCAGCAGCTGTACCTGGAGTAGCAGAACATGAGAGTTCGGTTGCCTTCTTTACGCAAACATCGTCACTACAACACGATTCACTTTAGAGTTACAATAATGAATAGGTGTCTTGCAGTCACATGCTTGCAAGACTTCCTTCACATGCTCGCAAGACTTCCTTCACATGCTCGCAAGACTTCCTTCACATGCTCGCAAGACTTCCTTCACATGCTCGCAAGACTTCCTTCACATGCTCGCAAGACTTCCTTCACATGCTCGCAAGACTTCCTTCACATGCTCGCAAGACTTCCTTCACATGCTTGCAAGACTTCCTTCACATGCTCGCAAGACTTCCTTCACATGCTCGCAAGACTTCCTTCACATGTTCGCAAGACTTCCTTCACATGCTTGCAAGACTTCCTTCACATGCTCGCAAGACTTCCTTCACATGCTCGCAAGACTTCCTTCACATGCTCGCAAGACTTCCTTCACATGCTCGCAAGATTTCCTTCACATGCTCGCAAGACTTCCTTCACATGCTCGCAAGACTTCCTTCACATGCTCGCAAGACTTCCTTCACATGCTCGCAAGACTTCCTTCACATGCTTGCAAGACTTCCTTCAACTCTTCACGTTACTGAATTCTTTGCCTATATAATGCTTGCTCAGGCTCCTGTCTTAACATACAAATTTAATATAAACCAGTCTATGACTTTCTTAACAGAGGGTCGTGTTAATTTATTATAAAACTGTGTTAGTGTGTAAAGGCGCGCTGCTAGCAAGTGGTTAATTGGTTTAACGTGAGCGTCAAATTTTTACATTATTTTGCAAAAAGCGTTGAATAATTTTACAGTATGAGCAAATTTTATACAGTTTTTAAAAATTCCCTCTGTTGTAATTCATCCCTCGTTTAGAGAGAGAGAGATAGATAGATAGAGAGAGAGAGAGAGAGAGAGAGAGAGAGAGAGAGAGATCCTTCCCCCTCCCCCCTCCGCTTCAGTTTGCACTCCCTGACGTACTTTATACCTCCCATGTACTTCACACTCCCTTCCCTCTCCAACACACTCATCCCATCCTCCAGCACCCCATTCTCCCCTCCATCCAGCACCCCATTCTCCCCTCCATCCAGCACCCCATTCTCCCCTCCCTCCAGCACCCCATTCTTCCCTTCCTTCAAAACCCCATTGTTCCCTCCCTCCAGCACCCCATTCCCCCTCCAAAACCCTATTCTTCCCTCCCTCCAGCACCCTAGTCTCCTTTCCTTCAACATCCCTCTCCAACACCACACTCCCTCCCTACCTCATGGACTGGTTTAACCTACGGGTTATCACCCAGAAGACACAAAAACAAACTCGCCGGGAGAATTCTTTCTTCGATTTCTTAACTCAAGTTATTGCCCCAAAAAAATGCAAGAAATCCGAGTATGTAGCTTATTTCCACTCGCTTTATTTGACCATTTAACCTTAAATGAGATCCCCAAAACTCTCTGTCTTCACCCGGGTACACGTTTGCTGTTAGATCCCCAGAATACACTGCAGTCACCCGGGTACCTATTTGCTGTTAGATCCCCAGAATACACTGCAGTCACCCGGGTACCTATTTGCTGTTAGATCCCCAGAATACACTGCAGTCACCCGGGTACCTATTTGCTGTTAGATCCCCAGAATACACTGCAGTCACCCGGGTACCTATTTGCTGTTAGATCCCCAGAATACACTGCAGTCACCCGGGTACCTATTTGCTGTTAGATCCCCAGAATACACTGCAGTCACCCGGATACCTATTTGCTGTTAGATCCCCAGAATACACTGCAGTCACCCGGGTACCTATTTGCTGTTAGATCCCCAGAATACACTGCAGTCACCCGGGTACCTATTTGCTGTTAGATCCCCAGAATACACTGCAGTCACCCGGGTACCTATTTGCTGTTAGATCCCCAGAATACACTGCAGTCACCCGGGTACCTATTTGCTGTTAGATCCTCAAGTGTAAGACTTCAAACCACGGGACGGGGGAAGGAGGGGAATAACGAACTCGCGGCAAGTGAGTTCGAGACCCACCAGTACCGTGGTTTGTTTGGGATCGTATTATGATTTCGTGATTCATATAAGACTCGGTCGGCTCGCCTCGCCTAGAATTGAACTCCGGTTCCTTTGATTGTGAGCTAACATGACGCATTCAAAATCTCCCTAAAATTAGTTACAAGTTCAATAGTATAGTAACAAACTAGTCTGTAAACTAGTTATCTGAAACACTTGGAGTAGTTTGAGTCATTTCTTAGACAACGTTTTGTCCTATATAGGACGAAATGTCGTCTAATAGTCATGAATTACTCGAGTATGTAAATGGATTAGAAAACCAACAAATTAATAACGAGACACTTGTGCAACATTTGGGAATCTTGATTGTGGAAACGTTTCGCCAGCCAGTGGCTTCTTCAGTCCAGTGCAAAGAAAGGTGGAAGGTGAGGAGTTTGAGGTAATCAGTCCCTCAGCCTGAAGTTGATGTGTTCCGTTCATCAGTCTTGACTTTCGTCAAGATTGATGAACTGATTTCTCCCTCTCCCACAGTTCTTCACGGGAAATGTTAATAACATCTCCCTCTCCCACAGTTCTTCACGGGAGATGTTAATAACATCACCCTCTCCCTCAGTTCTTCACGGGAGATGTTAATAACTTCTCCCTCTCCCACAGTTCTTCACGGGAGATGTTAATAACATCACCCTCTCCCTCAGTTCTTCACGGGAGATGTTAATAATTTTCCCCCTCTCCCCCCAGTTCTTCACGGGAGATGTTAAATAACTTCTCCCTCTCCCTCAGTTCTTTCACGGGAGATGTTAATAACTTCTCCCTCCCTCAGTTCTCACGGGAGATGTTAATAACTTCTCCCTCTCCCACGTTCTTAACGGGAGTGTTAATAACTTCTCCCTCTCCCCCGTTCTTCACGAGAGATGTTAATAACATCTCCCTCTCCCACAGTTCTTCACGGGAGATTTTAAATAACTTCTCCCTTCCCCCCAGTTCTTCACGAGAGATGTTAATAACATCTCCCTCTCCCACAGTTCTTCACGGGAGATGTTAATAACATCTCCCTCTCCCACAGTTCTTCACGGGAGATGTTAATAACTTCTCCCTCTCCCACAGTTCTTCACGGGAGATGTTAATAACATCTCCCTCTTCCACACAGTTCTTCACGGGAGATGTAATAACTTCTCCCTCTCCCACAGTTCTTCACGAGAGATGTTAATAACTTCTCCCTCTCCCACAGTTCTTCACGGGAGATGTTAATACATCTCCTCTCCCACAGTTCTTCAGGCGGGGATGTTAATAACATCTCCCTCTCCACCACAGTTCTTCACGAGAGATGTTAATAACATCTCCCTCTCCCACAGTTCTTCACGAGAGATGTTAATAACTTCTCCCTCTCCCACAGTTCTTCACGAGAGATGTTAATAACTTCTCCCTCTCCCACAG